GTCGGAACCGACTCGACGGCACTTAACAACAACAAGATGTTTTCATAACTTTACCCCCTGTATGCTCCACTACCTTCATGAATATATTTGCAGCAGAGGCAAACACACATGTCAAATATCCTGTGTCAAACCTGGATATATTTTTGTGACTCTACACCTAATCCACCTCTGACACCTGCTCAGCCTGCATGTCTATCCATGTATCTACTCATAGACACCGTTACTATGGGAACATGTACATAACAGTATTGAACAGAGGGAGCATTAAAAAACACATTCAAAGAACTTAAGTAGGTTTTATTTGTTTGTTTTGGTTTTGCATAAGGCTCTGTTCTTAACTGGAAAATTACTGGACAATTATTCGGTATTTATAATTTTATAAATCAAACTAATTATTTTAAAAGATGTAAAGTGTGTGTGTGTGGGGGGGGGGGACTAGGAAACAACCCTTTGGGGTTTGGAGTAGAATGAATAATTGTACCTGCAGTGATTTTCAAAGGAGAGAATTACAGGATATTCTGATGTGACAAACGCAGTTTCCTTGATGGCTTGAATTACATCCTTTAAAGACAAAGAGAGTTAATAAGAGAAAAGAGCAAACCTTTTAAGGTACCTAAAACTGTAAACCTAAACCCACTGCCATTGAGCCAATGCAACCTTATATAGGGTTTCCAAGACTATGAATCTTTATGGGTACATATAAACTCATCGTGATACTTTGGAGCAGCTGGTGGGTTTGAACCACGAACCTTGCAGTTAGGAGTCTAGTGCTAATCCTAAAGCACCAGCAAGGCTCCTTTAAAACTATTCAGTGGCTAGTTAATTGAGCCTTTTGGAGAGTCGGTGCTAGCAGTTCAGTCCTGGCGATCCCATTTACCTTGTTAACTATAGACTGAGTCTCCTACGGTTAGACCCAGGGCACAGCTAATGGTCAATAACTATTTTTTTTCCAAAGCTATTCTTTCATGTTCCCCAAATTGTGGTACTAATAACTTACTAGACATTTCATCTAAATGGTATGCCAGTCCCTTGTTTGATAATCTGCCAAGATAGGAGTTCAGAGCTCCGCATTTTCATTGAGCAGCAGGTGGGATTTTGTCACAGCTATTTTCACTACAGACGGCTCTTCCACTCCTTTCATCTCTTGGAGAAATACTTTGGTAACTTAAGGAGTTGTGGAAGCTTTGATTGGCTTCCCTCAGTGTTCCAGAGTTAATCAGGCTATGTTTCACTAACTAGGTGGAGACTCCTGTGTGTGGTGGACATGGTATTTGCAATAGCCTTGCTTCGCATTAGCCTGATGAAAAGCGAGGTCACTGGGGAGGGGTTCCCCTTACAGTTAAAACAGGAAGGTGTTATAGAGTCCCCTAATTTGTAACCTGGAGTCCTGATGTGACGCTGTGGGCTAATGCGTCAGATTGCAAAGTCATTTGAACTGCAAGGTTGGTGGTTCAAGCTCACCAGCTGCTCCTTGGAAACCCTATATAGGGTCGCTATGGGTCAGAATCGACTTGATGGCACTTAACAACAACAATAACAATTTATAACTTAGCCAAATCACTTGATACCCTGTTGAATGAGGTGAACACACTATATCTTCTGCCCATCTCCCTTACCAACAATAAGATTGTTGCTGTTAAGTGCTGTTGAGTTGGTCCTGACTCTTGTGACCCTGTATAGAGTTTCTAAAGAGTGGCTGGTGGGTTTGAACCACCAACCTTGCGGTTAGCAGTCCAGGGCTTATCCTAAAGTGCCATACCTGTACTCTGTGAAATAAGATAGGCCTTAACAAATGACTGGATGTCTATGCTTAGCTTTAGGAAGCAAAGCTACAGATCAATGCTTCTAAATTGGAGCACACTACTTAGTAAAAGTTCCAAAATTCTTACTGGCTTATAGCTACCCACTTGGCAAGCCTCATCATTTGATTAATCAGGATAATCTTTTACGATGGTTTTCTGGGGAAATCCATTTGAAATTATAATGTTGGATAATTTAGAGTATTTTATCGAGATACTCTTATGGTTGAGGTGGTCCTTTGGTGATGTCATTGTTGTAAAGTGCCATTGAGTCAGTTCTGACTCATAGCGACCCTATGTAGGGTTTCTGCAGAGTGGCTGGTGAAGTTGAACCACTGATCTTGGGATTCAAACTGACCGTATGGTCCAGTGCTTATCCCACAGTGCCATGCAAGGGCTCCCTTTGGGTGATGCTTGCTTAAAATTCCTTCCCAGTACAAAATGACTGTGTTCTTGATCTCATATGTTAGCTGAACAAGAATTATTTCTTTAGTAACATCTTGGTTTTGCCCTTGGGTTCTCAGTAGCTCATCTCCAAGTACAGGGGCATGGCTTTCTTTTCAGCTTTGCTTTCCTTGTTTCATTCCTTAGTTCTTCTCCAAAGCGCTTATCAATCTTTCACATCATTTTGGCTGAGTGTGCAAATGCATTGCTTCTCACTTCTCAGGGAGAACTGTGGATTCATTTCTGCTCAAAGCTTACCAACATCTTGGAGGAGAAAAATGATGTGCATGGAGGGTTATAGGTGAGAGACCTACCCCTGGTGATTGTTCACATGCAGATAGGCTTAAGAACTGTCACTCTGGATCTTGAAATATCTCTCACTAGTCACATCAGATCAACAGAGATTTATGGGCCTGGCACATTAACCAACAAAAAATTTCATGTTCTTTGGCTTGTGCTGTGACAGACAGGACATCACTGGGTCACATTAAGGAACACTCTAAGAAACCAGCCTTACATTGAGATCACAAAGAGACCATTATGGGAGATACCTATTTAAATAATTATCAATTCCTCTTCATGAGGGTCCCCAGGAGAAAATTTTTCTCTGGTCTCAATCCTGAGAATAGCTGTGCTTCTCTTTACCAACGTCTCTATTTGGACTTTACAGATACTGTGACTCATCATTTCTTTCCTTGCACTGGATTCTCGACAGAGTGGAGTCCAATTTGTAGTATGGTTTGTAAGACTTCTTTGCAAGCATTCATATACTATAACTTTCCTGTTCAAGTATAAACATACCATGGACTGCAAGAAGAACTAATAAATCTGTCTTAGAAAAAGTACAGTCAGAATGCTCCTGAGAAAAACAAATGGTGAAACTTCATCTTAAGTACTTTGGACATGTTATCAGAAGTCCTTGGAGAGGACATCATGCTTGGAAAAGTAAAAGGTCTGCGAAAAAGAGGAAGAACACCTCATCATGATGGATGGACACAGTGGCTACAACAATGGGCTCACACATAGCAACGTTTGTGTTGGCACAGGACCAGGCAGTGTTTTGTTCAGTTGTAGTGTTTACCTGATGCAGTGTTTTGTCTGGGGTTACTAGGAGTCAGAACCAACTAAATGGTAACTAACAACTGTAACCTTACTCTTGGCATTACTTAGTTTCCTTACCCTTACAGGTACGATTTACAATCTATTTTATGTTCTGAATTCTAATTATATTTTCATGCTTCCTTGATGTCCTTCAAGAAGTCTTGGTGACACTATAGGCTAAGCACTGGACTGCTAACTACAAGGTCTGTGGTTCAAACTCACCAGGTGTTCTGCAAGAGAAAGGCAAGGTTTTCTGCACCTATAAAGATTTACAGCCTCAAAAACCCTATGAGGGTTTTGATGAGTCGAAATCGACTCAATGGCAGTGATGGAGTAGGTGATGCCCTTTGGGAATAATGCAAAGTAACTAAGTAAATAAGCAGACTAGGAAATTAAAGGATGTTTGTAAGATAAGGTAAACCTGGTTGACTGACAGAGAAACATGATTATGTAGCCCAGACACCATCCGAAGGAGAAAAAGGAGCTGAGAGATACGTTAAGTAGAAAGAATCTTTCTCTTGACTTTCTCCTCAAAACTGGAAGAAAGAAATATGCAGCTAAATTGCTTGAGAAAATTGTAATTAACTTTCTCTTCTTCACTGCCATACTTTTCACATGATCAGTGGCTGTGGCTGTGTAATTTGAAAACTTACCTTAAAAAGGATATCTGTACACATTGCTTTTCCATGAGTTATAATTGGTTCTTGATCTTCACCTTTTCCATCCCAACAGTCAAGTTCAACACATCTAAGAATATAGTGAAATTACAATACTGATTCCTAATAATAGGCTGTGCACAAATTAAAAGAAAGACATCAAAGTAATTTTTTTTCCAATATAGAAGCATAAAAGTTGAATGAATTAGGTAACATAATTATTTTGTGAGGTATATAGACTAAAACTCCCATTATGCTCTTTATTCAGCTGAAAAATCAAAAAGGAGCTAGCCCAGACTAAAAGAGGTCTTAAAGACACAGTAAGCAGTGTGATTCAAGATGAAATCCTAGTTGTTTCAAGGCTGCAATAAAGAACAATTTGGGGACAACTGAGAAAATATGAATAAAGGCTAGGCTTTAGATGATTAAAAAAAATGTTGCTGTTTTTAAATTTTTTAGTTGGGATAATATTACTATGACTATGTCAGAAAATATTCTAATTATTATTTTAATGAGTCACACTGAAGTCCTCATAGAAGTAATGATGTAACCAATTTATTTGAAAGAATGCTCATTTCCCAAAAAGTGAGTTGAAAAAACAAAATACTGGTTATTGACAACCAAGAAAAAATCAAAATATAGCTATATTTCTTAGTTTTCACTTTAGAGTTTTTGTTATGCTTTTTATCAGATATGTTTGCCAGTTTATGTAAGAGAAAAACCATTTTGATAACTTTTATTTTCTGATAACTAAGTTTTAAAACATGAAGTAGTTAAATTTGCAAGTAATATTACTAGAGGTCCTCCTGATTGGTTGCCTTTAAGCAATAAAGAATTTTACATATGACTTCTTAAAATATGCATATTTCCTTTGTTTCTCCAAAATTTGGGTCATATTTTCAATTTTATAAAAATATCAGGAGATACTGACCCAGAGGAGGGCCTTTCTGGAAGAAATACTACCTTTCCTCACCAAGGCTAAATGAGTCATAGTCCATGAAAGAGAAAGACATGTCCCCTTTACTCTGATTGTTGTTATTATGTACTGATGAATCGGTTCCAACTCATAGCGACTCTGTACAGTGTTTCTCAGGCTGTAAGTCTTTATGGGAGTAGAAAGTCTCATCTTTCATCTGTGGAGTGACTGGTGGGTTTGAACTACTGACATTGTGGTATGCCAGAGTGCCACCAGTCCTCCTTTACTCTGATTACTACTTTCTATATGCAGAAAGAATACTAAAAAGAAACTTTACTGTAGTAAGTGGTTACGAATCGGGCTGCCAACCTCAAGGTCAGCAGTTCAAAACTACCAGCAGTTTCACGTGAGAGAGATGAGGCTTTCTGCTCCTGTCAAGATTTACAGCCTCGGAAACCTGTGCAGGGTCACTATGAGTCGGAACTGACTCCACAGTACTTAAAAACAACATATTGCAGAAGGCAGCAGTGGTGGATCAGTGTAGAATTCTTGTCTTCCACGCAGGAGAAGTGGGTATGGTTACCTTCCAAGGCACCTCATATGACGCCACCATGTATGTCTGTAGAAGTTTGTGTGTTGCTATGATGCTGAATAGGTGTCAGTGGAATATCCAAACTAAGACAAAGTCAGAAGAAAGGCCTGGCAACCTACTTCTGAAAATCATCCAATGAAAGCCCTATGACTCACGACAGTCCAATCTCTAACCAATCATGGCGATGGCACAGAACTGGTACTTGTGCTTGAGGTTGCCATAAACTGGGGACCAACTCCACAGCAGCTAATAAAAACAACATTTTTCAGAGAAAAGTAAATGAAATCAAATGACACATATACACAAAAGACAAACAGCCATCTTGAGTCTCCAACCTGCAGCCAGCCAGGAGAATCTGTCTGTACATTTCTACAGAAGACTTTCCACCAAACTGTCGACCAGTGAGATAGGTATTGTGGGAAGAACTGATGAAGTAGTGAGCCAAAGGATGGTCCATTTCTTGATACAGTTCTAGGCGATCTAGGAAGACTGGGGCATTTTCATCCGACATCAGATATCTGCAAAACCCATCACTTGATATGAGGCCTAGGGAGAAAAAGAATATCCTAGTAGAATTTGTGGTTCGGAAGATACAAACCTTATGTTTTGCATTATCTTAAGGCAGTTTAAATAGTTAACAAGTAAAAAAAGTGCATTTCTTTCCCAAGAAATGCCACCTTACAAAACTGGGGCTGCTGAGTAAAATGAGAGTTTTACAAGCAATACAATATAGTCTGCCAGTAGATGGCATTCTTCTTTCAGATCCATGATGGCAAAGATACTCAGTTCCCCTAAGCTCAGAAGTGCTCCCCCTTCTGGAGACCCTGTGATTTCAGGTGCTGTAGTTACCAGACATCAAGAGGATTTTTATCTAGTACTGCCTCTGTCACTTACTCTTTCATCCATCCTGGGTCTCAGTGTCTTCTGTAATATGGGGGGAAAAAAAACCATACTGAAACGAATTACTTTCCAGAATTGTTATGGAGGGTAAATGAGACTATATCTGAGAGATGCGCTTTAGAAAATGGAAAACATACAATTTGTAAAGCAGTATTGCTCTCATCCAGTTGGAGAAGGGATCTACTTAGAGATGGTGGTCTCTCCGAATTCACAAACTCCATTTTCCTATTTTACTTATAAAGCAGGGTATGGAACTGGCAATATGAGCAAGAGTGTGAAGTAGTAGTTAAAACGTGACCCAAAGAGTCACTGTTGGTTTTACTCACAGGCCCCATGTCCTAACTGCAGAAGAAGCCACTGGTATTTCTGCACCTAATTCTATCTTGTTGACCATCAGGTGTCTCAGCTTTTCATTTTTCTTGTAAGCATTTTCCAAATTATGAACTGATGTCAAGCTTACAGAAAAGTGCAGATAGTAGCATAATGAATAGGTGTGTACCAACACCACAGTTCTAATAGCTCTAAGAGCAGTCTGCTCTTTTCCCTTTGCATTTTTCTTCAGAGATAAATCATTACAGATGCAACTGAACACCTCATCTCTACTCCATTCCTTTCCATATTCTCACCCTCATAAAACCAACTGCTACCCTGGTTTGCGTTCAACACTCCCCATTTCACTACAGTCCTAACTTTACTAGATAAACATTTATCCAAACATCAGATTATTTTAGATGTTCTAAAATTTATATAAAAGTTATCTCAGCGTACGCATTTGTACCTTGTCATCATTGTTGTAAATTTTCTTGTGGTTTACCCAATTAATATACATTGTTCTTATTCATTTATTTTTCATTGAATGTATAAGGGCATGTCAAAAAATATTGGTATCGAATCACTGAAACCTTTATGGAACAAAACTATCAAAGATTTTTTTTTATTTTATTATTCAACAAAACTATCAAACAATTGTTACTCAACATACCCTTCATCTAGGTTTCTATACTCTTCGATTAACATGACAATGAAATAATAGTTTTGGAATCCTCAAGAGACTCAAATTATGCTCTTTTTCAATGTTCTTTGAGCCTTGTGAATAAAAAGACATCTGAAGGGGCAAGATCAGGTTTGCAGGGTGGATAGGGAGATCCCCTAGGACAGCCCTTGCTATCCTTGAAAAATGCGCAAGTGCACTGGCGTGATGGAAAAAATTCCTCTGTGCAACTTTCTTGGACTTTCTGCCACAAATGCAGTTTTCAAGTTTCTTAAAGCCTCTTCATAACAAACCCCATGATGGTCTTGCATCTTTTGAGAAACTCTTTCCAACTGTGGAATGCCAGAAACCAGTCACCACAATCTCTCTCCTTTGAATTTCACTGGCCTAGCAGATTCCCTAAGAAACCACTGTTTTACCCGGACCTTTTCTTCAAATGCAAATTAAGGAGATTAAGATAAGTACATTACTAAAACAGCTTGTCTGCAACCATCCACTGATCACAAAGACATGTTTCAAAATGTAGTGTTTGGAATAAACCTGTGCATGTATGAACTGAAACTCTGGAAGCAAGGCTTTCTCACCAACTCTCACATTGTAGTTCATATATGAACACATTGTAATTTATTATTCTTTATTCTGTTTAAGGGCATTTATGTCATTTTTAATTCTAACAAGATATACTATGATAAAAATTTGGTAAGTCCTGGTGTGGTACTTTATAATAAGCTAACTGTGGGCTCAAACCCACCAGCCATTCCTCAGAAACCTTATAAAGGGTCATCATGAGTTGGAACCAATTCAATGGCATTTAATGACAAAAAGGTTAGAAGAAACGGACAAGTCCTACCTTAATATAACATTATTATGGGGTAAAGAAGCAAATATAGTGACAAACAAATGTAACTTAATATGATATAAAATAAGTGCTAGAAGAATAACCAAGGCAGGGCAGAAAGTGATATGGAATATACAGGATGCTGGTTTGGATACAGTTGCCAGCTAGGGGTTTATATCATGCACAGGGAGAAACTCACATGCACACCTGGGGACTTCCATTCCAGGGAGAAGGAAAACAAAGGGCAAATTTGACACAGGAGGGTGTGTACCAAGGATATTCATGGACAGCAAGCTATGTGAATAACTAAAAGTGGCTGGAAAAGATAGAGAGGTAGCCAAAGGCTACCTTTGGAAGGTTTTGATGAGTGAAATGTGTGAATGGGTTTAGTTTAAAAAGACTTGCTCTGGTGCATACACTGTTGAGCAATAAGTAGGAAGAAGCGTCCTTAGAGGTTAGCTGGTGTGCCTAGGTAGAGATGAGGCAGGCTTGGGCAGTTGTAAAAGTGACCTGGTAAGATGTGATTTATCCAGGATTTATTCTCAGGCTAGAACTTGCAGGCCGTGCTGCTGGATCTGATGTGATGCAAAGAAATTAAACAGTATGATTCCAAAAGTTGAAAAATCTTGGAATCAGGTAAGGCTCAGAAAAATATCAGAAGTAGTATGGGCAGTCAGCTCGGCACAGAATCAGGTAAGGCTCAGAAAAATATCAGAAGTAGTATGGGCAGTCAGCTCGGCACAAATGGCTACTAAACTACCCAGAAGTACGTTGAAAGAAAGGTCTGGTGATCTGCCTCTGAAATGTCAGTAATGAAAGCCCTATGGAATGCAGTGCTACTCTAAAACACACCAGGTCACCATGAATCAGAATCAACTCCATGGCAACTGGTTGGTGGGATATGGGTTCAGAGAATGTGTAAACATTCCAGCTACCTTCACTGGCATGAGACACAAACAACGAATTTCTATTCTAAAGAGGAGTAAGCTGATGCCAGGTTTGGCACTGGCATAGGGACAGATAGAACTTGAACCCAGAACTACTCTCACTGTCCACTGAGAAATATAGCCCGATGGTCTAGCTCAGGTGTCACCTGCGCCTTGGACAAATAGCATTGTTCCTTCCATCCTCAGACAGTGTTTTTAATGCTATGGGGCCAATTTAAAATTTTCTCTCCATACCCTTCCTTGGATCAATATTTGAATAGACAACATTCTTCCAAAATTTCACTGAGAATAGAAGAGGCCCAGATACCCCAATAATAAATCAATTCCTACTTAATTGAACATAAATAAATTGCATTTAACTTTCATACCAGAGGTTAAATAGAGTTTAGCAGGTACATCAAATCACACATTAAATTCATTTACCTTGGCAAAACAAAGGGGAGAAAAAGAAGGTGTAGATTTTTATATGATATGAAATTCTTTTCAAAGATTATAAACACAAGCTAGAGTTGGCATTTTTACATTTAAAACATTATGCAATACTAAAGATAAGAAAGCACATGGTGAAAATATCACTATCATGTGCTTAATAATATAATAATTTTAATGTTATACTCGAGGCAGCAAGGAAGCATTCTGAACCAGGTTGAAATTTATACTTAGAGCAGAAAAAATCAGTCAGTTATTAATCCTTGGCTCAAGGGAACACTCCAAAGCTTTTTTTAAAAATAGATACCTTTAATTAAAAATCCAAGACACAATTTTCTTGGAACAGAAATCCAGTTTTTATTTTTATGTTTTTATTACCTTTATTCTTCAAATCTTCATCAGGCTCATACGTCTCAATGATCTGCATTGCTCTTTTAACATCATAAAATGGGAATAAAATTTCATTCAGTCGAGGATCTCGCTGATGCTATGACAGAAAGTAAGTCAAGTTAGATGGACATTTCTCGTCCTTGAAGCACCACATATTATCCAAGTACGCATGTTCTACCACAAGAAAGTCCTAGAATATCATGTTTTTAGTTACAAAGGTAGGAGTTCCCTGTCTTCCTCTTTCCCTAAAATATATTTCAAAAAGTCTAAATTTGGGAGGATTCCATTGGTTCCTCTCACAGAACTAGTGGGAAAAAACAGAATAAATTTTTTTTTTCTTCAAAAGGTGAAAGATAAATAATCTGATCTTTGAGCTACTGCAAGACGTTTGGCATAAATTCTTTTAAATGTGAGGTCTAACTCATTGAAAGAAAAAAAACAAAAAACAAAAAGGCAAACGCAAAAGACAAAATTCCCCCAAAATAGTTCTAATAGGCAATATACAATTTAGGTGCCAAAAGAAAACAAAAAAACAAAATCAAAATCAAAACCAAAAACTTTAATGAATAGACAGGCAGGCATCACTTCATTTGCACTATATTGTATCAATAAAAGATTTCTTGGGCACTCTCTAGTCTTTATTTTCTTCAGTAAATATTTCTGAAAAGTGTAATGATGAAAATTAATCAGTGCAAGGATATTTACAGCCTCCAAACAATATAAAAAATTGGTGTTGAAATATCAATAGTTCAGAGATGTCTATTTTACTCTGAAACTTAACTTGGCTTGCCCTGAAGAAATTCATTAGCCAGTGTCCATGAATGAGTGAGGCATTCAAAAGATTGGAGATGTCATCCTTTCTAATTAGCTGTTAGGTGCTCTTGCTACTACGGGAGGTACCAAGAGTAAGAGGGTACCTGCCGTTCTTCCATCCTGACTCCCAAGCAATGGTGGCAAGTCCAATTTACTGTCCAAGCTACCATCTTGTGAGTGTGTGTGTGTGTGTGTGTGTGTGTGTGTTTGTGTATATATCTGGAGGCAGTGGGTATTTCTGGGGGAATATGTGTGTGGCTGGAGATAGTGAGTCCATGAAACTTCCTTACTGTCAACTGTAGAATACAGTATCATGTACTATAGCCTTGGATAGTCACCAAAAATAATTATGTAAATAAAACAAATGTCCATGGAATAATGGTAGATAAGCAGATGTGAGCCAAAACTGGCCAATAAACAGGACATTGGCAATAAATAGCTCTTTACCCAAATATATGCACAGACTCTGAAAAATCTGGTGAAAAGATCTTTAAGAAACAATTGTTGAAAGTTCATATAGACTTTCCTTCCCCATTTGTTTTGGAAGGATAATTTAAAATGTGGACTACAAAGAATGAGTATCTTTAGTTGACTGAATTCCTGCTGTTATTCCCTAAAACATATGTGGGTCTAGTTTTCTCTGGTCCCCACCCCGACCCCACCAAGTTAGGAGAGTTAGCTCATAAGGAATCAGTATCTTTTTTCCCCCTTGAATTTATCCCAATGAAGCATGCTTCTGTAGTAATCTAAGAAATTACAGCTCATAACAGCTCACATTCATGCATATGACAGAGCAGAAACTGATTTAAGGTATTAGTAACAGGTCTTGATACTATAAAGAAGAAAGTTATAGGCTATTTGGAGAAAGACAATTGTGAGGTGGACCATGGAATGCCAAGCAGGCTGTACCTCATTCAGGAAACTGATAACTCTCATGCAGTCTTAGAGCCCAGTAAAGTTCCAGGAAATTACAAGCTCTGAACCACTGGTGAAAATGCATTTTAAAAACAAACAAACAAACAAACAAACAAACAAACTCCTTCCAGACACATGCCTCCTCCTGTCTCAGTACATCATCTCAAGGAAGAAGATGGATATGAGATGACCAAGGCCCTTTTTCTAGTTCTCTCTTTTAGTGAATTGAATCTTTTGATTTTAAGATATTTCCATTTTTAAGTATTTGGGGTTCATGACGTGATGGGGCAAATCCATACGAATTAGAAAGTAAAAGAATGAGGCTTTAGCAAAAAAGTGGAGAGGATGTAAGGGGAGGGGGGAAAAAAAGGAAATTCAGACATTCGTTTTTATATACACACGTCTGTATTCTACCATGGGGTGACTTGAAGTATGATCTGCCCCAGTCTTGCTCAATCCAATTTTCTGGGGTGGATCCCATGAATCTGTTTTAACAAGGCTTTGAAGTGATTCTGATTAGCTTAAGTTTAAGAAATACTGCTCTTGAAACCCAATACAAAGTTGTCATGAGTTGAAGCCCACTTGATGGCACTAAACAACACATGCAAATAAGCATTTAATATATTTTTATATCAAAGTATCTAAGCACTGCAAGGATAGGAGAATGCTAAATGTTTTATGCATTCCCAATGAAACCTGGTAACATTTAGTCAAAGGGTATGGTATTCTTTAGAGCATTCTGACTATCAGAAGCAATAGCCAGGGAAACTAAGGGCTAAAATAGATATATCCTAGCGCTTGGATTAATATGCTGGACTGCAAAGTCAGTTTGAACCACTAGGTCAGTGGCTCAAGTTCACCAGCTGCTCCTGGGAAACCCTAGACCGGGTCTCTATGGGTCAGGACCGACTCGACGGCGCTTAACAAGAGCAGGAACAATCCCCTAGTCTAAGAATTATATTCACAGAAAATAAATACAGGAGCAGACAATATGAAATTTCCTTTGCTTACCTGTCTGCTCTGCCAGATAAAATAATCTTTCAATTTCCCTAAAATGTTCACATTTCAAAAAAACTAGCACACTGCAATCTGGATAATACAAAAGCTAAGCAACAAAAGGTTTGTGTGCGTCACCAAACTTTGATTTTTATATGGGGGGAAAAAAATGAAGACAAAGGACACTTCCAGGTAATTTCAAAGTAATGAGGTTGTGGAAAAGAATTCCACATGGATACAAGCAAAGTAAGGCCAATGTCCAGGGGAAATATTGTTGGGCACGTCTCAAATTCACAGCTGTGAGGGGCCATCCATTATCAGTAGGAATCTGGGGAACGAATGCACCTGAGACATTCACCTCATGCTGTTTGTTTCAACTCACAGCAACTTCCAAGGAGCAGCTGGTGGGTTTGAAACACCAACTTTGCTGTCAACAGTCCAGTGCTTATCATGTAGCACCACATTGACACTCCATAATGCTTTGTAAAATGAGATTCTAAATAGCTTCCAAAATAGGTAATAGAATTCTATCCAAATAAATGAGGAGTAATGGACGTGACTCCATTACTATCCTTTCTCTCCCTGAAAAGAGGCATCAGCTAGCATCATTCCAGGAGGCAAGGTCAGCAGTTCAAACCCATCAGCTGCTCCTCAGAAACCTTATGAGTCGGAACCAACTCAAGGACATTTCATAGCAACAACAGTATCAATCTCCAAGTAGCATCTGGAGAGATCCAATGGACACAAAAAGAAAAGAAAAGAAAGTCATGATTGATAAGGGTAACTTAACTCATATGACTAACTAGTCCCTTCTCTCTTTACCTATTCATTGAAGAGTCAGGATATTGTAAAAGATAACAAGATCATGGATTCTTTATTAATATTCTTTCAACTGAGAAACAACAAAACAGGTTAGCCCTAATAAAGGTGGAAGGTTACCAGCAGCAAGCAAATAAAGTTAACTCTAGGTTATTGTGACTAACTGAGACCTTCTTCTGATTCTGATTTCTCTCTTTCCCTCTATGCATGTCCTAATCCTTAGGTGTTGTTATCTTTGTGAAAAGTTAGAAAATGAACGTAAAATTAAAATCAATTTAGTTTCTCAGTAGGAACACAGACAGACTGGAAAACCAAATCTATTACCATCAAGTTGATTCCGAACCTCTAGCGAACATATAGGACAGTTACAGAATTGCTCCTTAGAGTTTCTGAGGTGGCAAATCTGCATGAGAGCAGTCTCATCTTTCTCCTGTAGAGTGGCAGCTGTGTTTGAACGGCTGACTTTGCAATCAGTAGACCAACACTTAACCCATTGTGCCTTCAGGACACCTTAGGAACAGGGAAAGGGAGGTGACACTAACTGAATCCCAGAGATTTTAATTAGTCCCTTCACATGTAGGCGGCTGGGAGTAGTATATAACCCTTGGCATTTCATGATGATTGCCTCTTTCAACCCATACTGGATTCTCCTGTTTTCATAATATAGGCTAAGAAAGTTTCCTTCAATCCATTGGATGAGGCCAAGAGACAAAACTGTGGCAAAATTTTGATCTGAGTGGCAGATTTTCATGATCAAATTCTTTATGGAGAACAGCAGAATACATATGCTGTCCTCATACTCTGTTTATTCATACTAAGGCTCTCAAGGAAGAATCTAGATAATCCACAAGGACAAAGCTTCACAAATTTAATGAATCAGTTGGGAGATCTTGTTAAATGCAGAATCGTTTTCAGCAGACCCAAGAGCGACCCAGTTGTAACAATCTCCCAGGTGACACTGATGTTATTGATCTACAATTCACACTATGGGAAGCAGTCAACAAGTAGATACTAAAACACTTGAAGCAAACCCAAGCTCATTGCCATGGAGCCAAATATGACTCATAATGACTGTATAGAGTTTCTGAAGCTATCAATCTTTTTGTGAGCCGAAAGCTTCATCTTTCTTCTGCAGATGGATTTGAATTCAACCATGCAGTTAGCAGTCTGGTGCTTATCCTACACTACCAGCAGGACTCCTTTAAACAGTTGAAGAGAGAGGTCTACAGCTATTACTGAAAAGTTGATGATGACATAGATAGGAGGAAGTGTCAATGACCAATTTTCTCTCATCTCCTTTTCCTGGAGAAACACTAAGCAGAAAATTTCATTTAAAGAGTGAAGGGATTTACAAACTGGAAGGTGATGGGAAGCAATGTAGCTTTTTCTGATATTGATGGGATTATTTTCCAACCACCTGTCCTGGTCGACAGTTCAAACTCACCAGCTGCTCTTCATTGGGCAAAAGATGAGGCTGGCCACTCCTGAACAGTCTTTGAGACCCTGTCAACTGGAGTTGGCTCAACGGCAGTGGGTTTGGTTTTTAAATTAATGTTGGTGTATAGAGTATCTAGGGGCCCTAATGGTGCAGTGGGTTAAATGGTGGCTGCTAAAAGAAAGACTCATGATTCAAATCCACCAACTACTGCATGGGAGACAGACGAGGCAGTCTGCTTCTGTAGAGATTCACAGTTTCAGAAACCTGATCCGATAGAGTCACTGTGTTGGAATCGACACCATGGTAGTCGGTGGTGGTGGATAGGGTATAGTTTTTTTTGAATAGAGTATCTTTTAATATTTTTTTTGGTAGTCATTTTTCTGGTTACCTCTCTTATTAATTCAGAGTTTTCCTGGTTGATTCTTTTTGATAGTCACAGTAGATAATCATCTGCAAATAATGAGACTAGGGCCCTGTTCTTTCAATGAGTCATATGACTCCTTAAACTTTCCTTGTCTAATTGCATAATCCTGTGTGATGTTAAATTCTGGACTGTTGTTGGCTCGAACACTGAACATTTAAAAAACGCCTACGGTTTAGCTTTTGGAGTCATAGACCCTTACATTCCCATGCCTGTTTCCTTCTTGAACATGTTTGTTGTCTCCTTTTATTATGGGTTTTGAAGTCATTCTACCTAACAGGTGCTTCTGATTTTGGAACGGTATGAAGGGTAAATGCAGGACTCAAAGAGAGAGTACAAGGTGCTGGCATAATTGTCTTTAAGCTGGAAAATGCTTCTTCAAGGAGACATTCAAAATTTTTTGTCTAGTCCTTCCAGTTGAGTTCACTAAGATAAAAAAAAAAGGAAGACATTCAAGGCAGACATATCTGTTAAAAATAAAGACTACATGTTTTCTTGGCCTACCTTACAGTCTCTATGACCTAAAGAAACCTAGAATCACACTGAGTTCAACAGTCCCACCAAGAAAATCCAAGGTGCTGCCATATTGTTTATGAGAAATCAAATACAAAGATAAAACACAAACGGATACTCTTTGCCTCTTTAACATCTTGCCTACAATTTGATCTGATTCTCAGTGACCCCATATGTAGTGTGTCAGGGTAGAAAACATAGGGTTTTCAGTGGCTGATTTTGCAGAAGTAGACCACCAATCCTTTCTCCCAAGCTGCCTCTGAGTGAATTCAAACCTCCAACCGTTTAGTTAGTAGCCAAGCAAGTTAACTGCACAACCCAAGGCTAAGGACAACTATAATAATGTTGGCTCGAAATGTAACAAAACAGAAGTATTTTAGGAAAGAATTTGGGTGACAAACAAGAATGTATGGGTAACTATTTTTTTAAAATTATGTTTTATGTCTTAGACTCACATGAATTATAATAGTGATTATTGGATAACCAAATTCACTATCACTGAGTCTGTGCCGACTCATAATGACCCTCCAGGGCACAGGAGAACTGTTTCCTAGAGCTTTTGTAAATCTTTATGGTAGCAGACAGCCTCATTTTGCTCCCTCATTTTTATCTGGTGGGTTTGAACTGCTAACCTTGTGGTTAGCAGCCCAGTGCCTACCCCACAGTGCCACTTATACTCCATGATGATTGGAGAGGCCAACGAAAACAACTCACAAAGGGGAAGAACTTGAGGTCAAAGGCCATGACGGCAGCATGCAACGTCATGACTTCAGAACTGGCTCTTGATCTGAGCAGTGGAATGCAGAATGAAGGTCTCTATAATGTTCAACAGATGACTGGGTGCCTGCTTCACCCCACTGCACATGGGGCCTTTATTAATTTTGTTTTGTTTTTCATGGAAGTGACTGATAATGTGGTAGATTTTCTCTTCTCACTAAAGCCCACCTCACCAAAATTAAGATGATCAGTGATCCAAAATGCATGGAGAAGCTAAGAAAAATAAAACTTAAAAGAAAGAAAGAAAAAAGCAGAAGAGGGGTAAAGGGTTTACGGAAACAAAGCAAGGAGATTTAACTTCTAAGCAACTGTGACATCAGAATGTGGATAATATCTGGGTAAAGATGAGGAACATAGTATTCGCATGACTGGAAACTAGTAGAGCAGAAAAACTTGAAATGCTTTCAAGTAAATAAATATTGTATTTTACTGAAAAGATTATTTAGAAGGGGAGGCATCTGTGCAGAGATTGGAGTACTTACTCTTTTAGCATTCAGTGTGTCTAGACGCTAGTTAATGTGTCTGCTGAAGTGCAATTCTATGCATGGGGAACCAATGAGCTCCCTCTCAGGGTTAAGATAGAGAAGACCTTTGACAAAATGTGATTTGTCTCTATAAAATGGAAAAATTACTGTCTGCCTGTTGTCTTGCCTTGAGGCATACTTTGTATCTAGAATGATGCTGTCTTTTCTAATGTTTTCTCTATATGTGGTATGGTGGTTACCTACCTTATTTTTTAACAAAAATATACTGCCAGAGCTTCACCTAAACTCTTCTAACTATTAATGCATTAAAATAAGGGATTTTTTTTTTTTCTGGGTTAACAAGAGTCTCAATGGGTTTCACCGAAGAAAAAACAAGTTTTGCAGGTGTAAAGAAAAAAGTTAATTTTAGTTGTAACAAAAATATTTTTCTCTTGTGTCCAAGCAGATTTTGTCAACCAGTTTTTGTTGTTAAGTGAATCATATGCTAAAATTAGCTCTGAACTTGTTATAAAAAATATAAAGTAAAAATTTAGCTAGCAATCCAATTGGCTTATTCTATACTATATTTTCACTCAGGTATTCAAAGTGTTTTGCTTGTCAAAATACTCCATTGAAATCTACATATTTTTTCTTACATGCAATCCATTAAAAAATAAATAAATAAACAAAAATAAAGCTCCCCAGCCCATGCAAAGGTATCAGAAAAATTTAACAGCAGAGAATTCAACTCCAGTGCCATAAAATTTGTCCATTCTCTGCCTACTTAATGAGATCAATAGGGGGAGGGGGGTGGGGAAAGAAAAGCACCTTAAATATCATCTTGCAAAAACATAGACACATTTAATTAAATGAAGGTATTATAAAATTCACACACACACACAGAACCAGAGCTACATATACGTACAGCCAGGAAACCAACAAAAAGCAGTGAGCAAAGCCAACATGTAGGAGGCACATGAACACACAACAGCAGCTGAATCTTGCACCTGGTAAAGCCATAATGGATAGATCAGCAGGTAAAAAGCAAAGCGAATGATGGCATATGACTTGGGCATGCAATGAGAACATTGGAGGAGGCAAACCACCGCACACAGACTTTATGGAGTTAATGTATGAAAAAGCTTACTTCATTTAGAAAGCTCACTAATTGGTCTACCGTTAAATAATCAGTTTTGTCTCCATTGCTGAAAAGGAATTTATTAGAAAAAAGTAAGTTTTTGTATATGATGCTATAGCAGGTACGATTTACATGTTGACAATTGTTGATGATAATTTCTAAAACTTATTTTCTAACCCTGAAGTAGTGGTGCATTCTTAAAATGGCCCGAAACTGTTTGTAAGAAAAGAAAAATAAAATAAAACAAGAAAACAAAACAACAAGAAAACAAAACAAAACAAAAAAACCCAACGACAAAAGAAACCACTCCCACTATTCTCAGAAAATGTCTACCATTGTACTTTAGCATTATCAAAAGATGTTATTTCCAAACCAACAACATGTAAGTCATCCATCTGAAATCATAGGAATGAACTTTTCAACAACATAATGACATTCCAAATTGAAACTAGTTAGTTCACAAACTGGGTTAACACCTAAAGGAGCAGGTTAAAATTGTAGGTCGTTAGTAAAGCCAATGCAGGGGTAGGGCGAATTCCAGGAGCTGTCGTTAATTTATGTAAAAGTTTCTCATAGAGCAAACTTTTATACTGGTAAACTAAGGGGATAAAATGTAAGTCTGACTAGCCTATTCCTAGCTATGACTAACATGCTATATTACACTCTTACGACAAATACTTTTTTAAAAATCTAAAAGAGCAATGATAACATTTATACAACACTTGCTCATAAATAGAACTTACATTTTTCTAAAAAGATCCTCTATATCTGTCCGAGGACAAATCTTTTGTGTCAGTTCATAAAACTTTTCATAAGTAAATGCTGCAGGCTCAATTTCATCATTCTGTAAAGAATAACAGAGTGTTATTAATCAAGGAACAACTTTCTCCTTGAAGGGTAAGGATTTATGGGTTCACGAAACATTTTTCTGGGAATCCCAGGGCCTCTATCTTGGATGAGTGCTGACAAAACCCAGGAGGTTAACTCAGGACCTTGGGCCACAGCTCCACCATCCTGCTAGTATGTGTCAGTGGGGGTTTCTGGTTACCAGGAGCCAAAGTGTATGCTTGTCAACCTCTGGCCAAAGAGCAAATACAAAGAAACAGTTTCTTCTTCTCTCCCCGTAGGAGAAAAGTAAGAATGGTGAATAAATCAAGTTCCGTCTTTCCTTATACTCACTTTGTGTATAAGGGATTGTCCCAAGACCAAGTAAAGAGGCTTCAGTTGACCATATACAACTTTCACAGTACCATAAAGGGGTTTAGGACAGGCATAAAGCAATATGGGAATTTTTACTTCAAATAGGACTTGTGAAAGCTGTGGTATGTCTAAATTTTTCTTGCAGTCAGGATGTTCATTTCAATTACTTAGATTCTAAGGGTTGTGAACACAAATGGTTTGTTTGGGAAGAAGTGCTTCATAAACTTCTCCCAACTACCTGGACGAACTGAATTTATTAGTTTTTGTTCATTCAGACTTTGTGCTTCATTGAGGCCAGGTTGATGGGCTGCTCTAAGCTCCCTACGCTGCAAAGCGAACAATGTAGCTTTCATTTCCTTTTTTTAGTATAGATGACAAAAAAAAACAAAACAAAAAACCATGTAAAAATGCACTATTAGGATTTAAAAATATTTGGGTCAAATTGTCCAGGATACAACAGGAAAGATGGAGGGAGGGTAGGGGAAGGAAAAGTGGGAGCGGGAATGGAGAGGAGGGAGAAGGAAGGGAAAATTATCCTATATATGACTGAATCTAATTCTGAATCAAATTAACATGACTTTAATATAAATAATCTGGTTTATTACAGACAAGGACATAAAGGAACAAAATGGCTTTAGAAATGCATTGTTAAATGAATGAATACCTTTCCACTGGGAAGACCTAACTCCTTGAGAGCTTGAAAGATCACTTTTTCCGTTTTCCCCGATGCAAAGGTTCTAGTAATACTAGGGGCAAAAAGAAAGAAGGGGTTGGGGGAAGAAAAAAGATTCAAGTTATTGTCCACTCAGTATACTCGGAAGCAAAGATCCAAGTAATAGTAGGAATGAGGGGTGGGTGAGAAAGAAATGGAGAATAAAGTTACTTTTCATTCCTTGGTGTTTTCCACTTCTCAGGCTATCTCCTACAGTGTCTTTCCTGGTACTAATGCTGATTATGATCATGAGACAACTGGATTCTAAGAGAGGCAGTTGCTTGGGTGCTTAAGAAAACAAGAGGGCACTTGAGGAAACACTGTTGGATAAAAACCATGATGCATTACTAAATTACTAAGTGGAATCCTGGTATGGTACTATAGATCAGCACAGGACTGTGAACCACATGGTCTGCAGTTCAAACCCACCAGCTACTCCTTGGTATACAAGGTACTGTGAGTTGGAACTGACTCAACGGCAATTAACAACAACAATAAGTTACCCGTGGAATCCTGGTGTGGTGCTGTAGGATACGCCCTAGACTGCTAATGGCAAGATGGGTGATTCAAACCCACCAGTCGTTCCTTAGAAACCCTATACAGGGTCGCTTGGCTTGATGACACTTAACAATGACAAATTCCTTTCTGATTTGGTGGTGTAGGATAAATACTGGACTGCTAAACACAAGGTTCGTGGTTCAAACCCACCAGCTGGTCCTTGGCAACTCTATACAGAGTAACTATGAGTTGAAATTGGCTCAATGGCACTTAACAAGAAGCTACTTTCTAAGAGTCCCAGGTAGTGTAAATGGTCAACGTGATACTTGGTTGCTAACAGGGAGGTTGGAGGTGGCACCTAATCTTCTTCTGAAAATTCAGTCAATGAAAGTCCTATGGTGCGCACCTCTGCTCTGAAAACACATGGGGTCACCATGAGCAAGAATGGACTAGATGGCAACTGGTAAAACTGGTTAAGTTACCTACTTGGGAAAAATAAATTTGGCAGATAAGACATCTGTTGTTGTTGGTAAGTGCCTTCGAGTTGGCTTTGACTCATAGAGACCCTAAGATTTCCGAGGAGCGGATGGTGACCTTGAACCTCCAACCCTGTGGTTCAAACTGACTTTGCATTCCAGCGCATTAACCCACAGAGCCATAGCTCTAGAAAGAACTTCCCTGTTGACAATGGTTCTGCTTGGGGGCAAAAAAGGAAGCCCTTTATAACTCAGCTCATACCTGTACCTTTTCCCTAAATTTCATGTCTGTTTTGCTTTCTCAAGCCAAAAACAGTTCATGGAAAATGGAATGAAAAGATAATGGAATTTCCTCATGAACTTGTTGAAGCTCCTTTGTATATCCTGGTGATAAAGTTAGAGGGAAATTCCCCACTATAGATGCACTGAAGACACTCAGAATGAATGGAAGCCACTGAAATTAGTAGTTGGTAGCAAGAACCCTACACTTCCCTCTGAACTGTGCTATGCCACCCAAAGCACTACATGCTGATTGGAAGTCTAGGTACACTCTGCCAACATTATTTAAACACTAAATTCAGAAATCTAGTTTTGTCTTAAATAAAAGCTTACATTTGTCTCTGAAGCTTGGTTTTGGAATACCTTCCCTGTGAGCAACAGAGGGTTTTGAGCAATGTTTCCCCAGGTCCAACATTCTCATGCTTCCTGCCATTCATGTTAAGTGAAAGGCAAGCTCCTAATGTAAGCACTAACAGTCTGTTCATCTTAATAAGAGGGAGAAAGTATCACTTCAACTGCAGATTACAACTTCCCAAAATAGATTGGGAGGAACTAGCTTTAGGTAAATGAATTACAAATGTTTATTCAAAGCTTTATTGCTACATAGTAAATCCTAGGATAGTTCAGGAAGTACATTTTAAATAGTGCTGGAGATGGTTGTATTTAAATATCGAAAGCTCTGAATTCTCTTTACTGAATTTATAGATAGCAGAATATATATATATATATATACACATGTGTGTGTGTGTATATATATATATATACACACACATACACATGTGGCATCAAGTAAACTGGTTAATAGGTGAGTTTTCTAGTCTAATTGGTGCTATATCCACATTCTCCCACTTTTCTAGAACTTCTTGTAAAGTGCTGTTGAGTTGCTTCCCACTCACAGCCATCCTTTATAGGGTTTCTGAGGCTTTAGATTTATCTGGGAGCAGAAAGTCTACTCTTTCTCCTGTGGAGTGGCTGGTGGGCTTAAACTGCTGATCTTCTGGTTCGCCATCCAATATGTAAACCACTATGCCACCAAGGCTCCTTGTAAATTGTTCTAGAGTGTCACAAATGTGGTAGTGTGGGACCTGAGCCTTTCAGATGAAATGTGAGTAGAAAGAAGGCAAGAGTGTATGTGAATAGAACTTTCTGACTAGGGCTTAGTCATATGCCAAGGAGCAGAAAGAAGAGCAAGAACCTCTCATGTGAGTAAGAAAGCCCAAGCATTTGAAGACTTGATAGATGGAGGGAAAGAGTGTGTGCTTGTAGATGTGTAGGGCCTGGCCTTCTTTACAAAGATCCTGCCTATGAGGAGGGTTCAAGTCTGTTGGCAGTGGCCCCATCTCCCTCACCTCAAGAATTCTCTGTGCCTGTTTTAGAGGGTGGTGATAAAGCCACCACTGGATGGTAGACTTTTTGGGAGATGCATGAAGGAATATGTCAGGGAGTCCAGGGTCAGAGGCCAACAACACAATTGCACAGAAGATGAAGAAGGCAAGAGGTATTGTGACCAGAGGTAGTATCATTATTTTTCAGGTCCACATTTTCACTAGGGGACACCATCACCAATAATTTATTCATCTCATTTTTTTTTTTTAAAGGTACAAGAATTTTAGTAAAGATTATTTAAATGTGATTTTCTAAAATATGCAGAGTCTAGCAAAAATGACAGATCCTATGACTCAATTGCACTTAACAACAACAAATGTATTATTTATAATAGTATTCTTACAAATGAAAACTTAAAACCTTCAAAGTTACAAAACACCTGGGAATGTCAATATGATGCAATATTAATAAAGTCTCTCAAGTGTTTACAAATTTATCAATAACTTCTTATTTGTTCAACTATCATTAATGATAAAACCTTATTATCATCTAGTGGTGGTGATGGTAGTTGTGTGCTATCAAGTTTGTTCAACTTATAGGAACTCTGTAGGGTTTTTGAGGCTTTAAATCTTTATGGGGGCAGAAAACCTCATCTTTCTTCTGAGGAGCAGCTGGTGGATTCGAACTGCTAGCCATGTAGTTAGCAGCTCATGTTCATCTCATTTTTAAAAAAAGATCAAACTCAGGATGGTAACTGGGAGAAAAGAAGTCAAAAAGACAATTCCTCTGGGGTTGGTGGCTTTATTTCCTTTGTTTCTGGCAACTTTTAAGTCACTTTTGGGCCTTAAGATGAATTTACTTGAGGGTGGAAGGAATGTGGAATGAAGATGAATTATTTTCAGTTTCTAGTTATATTTGTTCCATCCAAGGTTCAGCAGGGTTCCATTTAACCAGGGCCTGAGAGAAAAACATTTGTCACAGGTGGAGGCATTGTAGACATCATGACTGAGTTTCATGGAAATGTAGAATGTTTATAAAGGGCTGTGATTTATTCATTCTTTTATATACAATCTTATGCTCAAGGAATTAGTTTGGTACTCCATAGTTACATGATGCTCATTGTTTTGATTGAATCATATTAATCACCACCCATTCTCCAAAAGATATGGTACAAATACCTTTGAATAGTGTCCAGTACTATTACAGTACTGGTTTAATTCTATGTTTCAGGGATCTTGCAGGTGATAAAGACAGCAATGATCCTGGAAATTAAAGGAATGCCTTTCTTTGCTTCTACCAAAATCATCTACAAACCATCCAATGGCTTTAACACCACCCTCTAAAACTGGCACAGATAATTGTGGAGGTGAGGGAAATGGGGTTACTGTCAGCAGACTTGGACCCTCCCCATAGGCAGGCAGGATCTTTAGGAAGAAAATAATTATCTAGAAGTTGGACTGCCATGACCATACCTGAAATGTCTAGTCATCTGTAACACACCTACCTTCTTTCCAACGTTTTCCTGCCCATGGTTATTGTTTGGCTGCCCATTCCTCAACCCTCTGCTTAGGCAGCAGTTTGCACTCCAGCTTACAGGGAGTGAGAGATGGGAAAAGCAACTAGTGACGACTTGTAAGAACTTGGTTTTGAGTGGGAGGATAAATTGAGTGTGAGTTTATAAATTTGAGAGGAAGGCAGACTGTGTAAGATTATGTACATAGAAAGAAAAGAAGAAAATAAGGAGTACAATTTTCTTCATATGCCATTTCTTTTCAACTTCCTGGATACTGAATTTTGATTAATGTCAAACAGCAAGGCCATTCCTAAGTCATGGAATGACCCTTTTAACATTATACATTTTAACATTACATACAATGAACTAACAGTTTCCATTTTTTTAAACTACAGAATGATAGTGATGAAACAAGATTTTTAAAGTGTTTACTCTTCATATCCATTAAAATATTTCACACCATTTCCATCTAGCCGTCGGCAGTTCATCCACCAAGAGATTTATTTACCATTTTTATTTTTTATTTTTGGCTTGGTCTCAGTTCTCTATCAACTCTTGCTCCCCAGTAACAGATGACTTGTATCAAACACCTGTTAATACTGGCAGGCGACAAAGAGTTTCATGTCAAAAGAACTACAGAGGATGCCAAAACATCTTAGTTATTTTTACAAGGAAGGTAATGAAAATTTTGGACATGAACATGAGAGATAAAGATCACTGGAATCAGAGAAGCTCATTTAACAATGGGTTGATTGGGAGGATGCACAGCAAATGACCCCAAGCTGCTAGGTTGAAGGATTTTGATAGTAATCTACATGTGTCTACTATGTACAGTTCATGACTCTTTTCTGGGAAGAAAAAGCAGGCTAATAAGGTATGTAAAAATAGAACCACCTTGCATTTCAGTACATCACACTCTTTACTGTCTATGTTTTCTGTGCGCAGACTTACTACTTCAGTAGGTCAGGGTATTAAACAACACACATGGCTCATACTCTCTTCATTCTTGCTTCCACTCTAACTCTACTATCTTTTTTTTTTTTTTATCTCTATCACTTTTACCTAGGGCAGAGAGAGGGAGAGAGTGACAGATCTGTAGAGTGTCTAGTGCAGTTTAGAATATATCCAGAGAGCAAGTAGCAAGAAACCAAAGAGAGAGCCCCACCAGCCTGGATCACCAGGACACTAAAAAGCTCAGAATGAGAATGCACCACCAAGAAGCTTCTGCCTTCTGAGGAGCCAGCATGCCACAAACCCACTGCTGTGGCGTAGATCCTGATTCATGGTGACACCATGTGTGGCGAGTAGGATTTTCAAGACCATGCCCCTTTAGAAATAGATTTCCAGGGTTTTCTGCTGAGGTGCCTCTGGATAGTTTTGAACCACCAACCTCCTGACTAATGATTTAGTGCCACCCAAGGCCTCTCTCAGCACACTACAAGATTCTTTAATTTTAGCTAATGGTTGCTCAGCAGAAGTAGGCCACAATAAAATACCCAAAATAAAATGAATTTTGAAAGCCTGTATCTTTGAAGATTGAAAAAATACTATATTTTCATATGTTCTTTAGTTTATTTTAGTAGGTAATTAATGTGACCTAGTCTGAGAAAAACAACACAATTTTCTTCCATAAAAGATTTCAACAAATTCAAAACAACATTTAACAAAGCAATTCAAACTTAGCTTCCAGAACCATCTTTAGTTCAATCACTGACTAACAACTACTTGCAGACAGCTTTCTATATCTTATATGAAGGCCAACAGGGTATGATAAACAGCAGAAATGATTGACTTACCTCCTAACTGGAATTTTACCATTTGTGTTGGTCAGAAATGCCAATTTCATCCAGCTGAAATAAGAAAATTGTTTTAATGTTTCTTAGAAAGAACAACTTCAGTCTCACTAAAAATTATAAATCATGATAAGAAAGTTCATTCAAATAAAAAAAAAATCTACTCTGAAAAACAGAGACAATTATATAATTTATAATAAACCTAAAGTTGTTAAATTCTGCAAATAAAACATAGGGATCCAGGTTAAATGCAATTTCACATAAACAATAAGTAAATTTTCAGTATAGGTATGTGCCAAATACTTGATGCTACCTAAGGTGTCAAGTCGATTTTGACTCACAGAGGCCCTGTGTATGCCAGAGTAGAACTGTGCCCCACAAGGCTTTCAATACCTGATTAAAAAAGACAAACATAGATTGCCCAGCTTTTCTTCTGAGGTGCCTCTAGATGGGCTTGAACTCTCAACCTTTTATTTAATTGCTGAACGTATTAGTGGTTTGCAACACCCAGAGATTTCAAATACTGTTTACATCAAAAAACAAACCAACCAGTTGCTATTGATTCTGACTTAAGGCAACCCCTTGAGTGAAGAGTAGAACTGCACTCCCTACGGTTTTGAATGGCTGCTTTTTTAGAAGTAGGTCAGGCCTTTCTTCTGAGGTACTTCTGGTGGACTTGAACTTCTAATCTCTGGTTAGAAGCCAAGTGTATTGATTGTTGGTAAAACCAGGGACTACAAAGGACATTGTTGTTGTTAAGTGCCTTCAAGTCGGTTCTGACTCATAGCAACTCTGTATAGGGTTTCTGAGGAGCAGCTGGTGAACTTGACCTGCCAACTCTGCGGTTAAAACTAACCTTGCAGTCCAGTGCATTAACCCGCAGCACCACACTAGGACTCCACAAAGTATATACTTATCCTCAAAAAGTGTCTGAAATTCACCGTGAACTGGAAGGTTTGTGTTTTTATCTGGAAACCACATCAGTATTTATTTGGTGATTGGTCTTGTTCTTGGGTACTGAGGCAGTAAGAAACACAAATGCACAGTCACACCAGCCAGCTTTGTCTTTAGGACCCACGAGGATTCCCAGTTCTGCAAAGCATTGACCGAATCGGTACTTTCCTTGTTTCCAGTGGTAACAGAAGTGCAGAGTTCCAATAGATGGTGAAACACTCCTTTATCTCAGGACACATGCGGTTCTAGAACATTGGCTTATACTTCAGGGTTAGGATTGTCTTTAGCTAATGACTCCCTCTCTCCATGTTTCCAGGAAAAAATACAACAATCTACAGAAAATGATGATCCTGGAAAGGTTCTGACTTAAGCAGGTTTCCTAGAATCACATGTGACTACTTACTAAAGCAGTATTTTCAGGACAGAGAAAGTGAGGCGAGCAGATCAGACAAGGGAAACAGGTAGGCAAAGTTGTGGTCTCAGCTAGAACTTTGGCTCCAGGTCTCTGGAGTGTGCTTTTGAAGCAGTGTTGATCTTTGAAGTTGGGATGAGGGTTAGTGATGGGGAGGCAGTCTTTGATTCTGTTTCAGCCAGTCATTGGCTATAGGCTTTCCAACCAGAAGTAGGGAGAAGTATAATCTGCTACGCACAGTGGCTCCCCCGCTTTGGTGGTGGTGGTAGTTGTGTGCCATGGAGTCATTTCCAACTCAGAATGACCCTGTACATGGTTTTGGAGGCAGTAAATCTTTATGGAGCAGAAAGTCTCATTTTTCTCCCACAGAGAGGCTGGTAGATTTGAACTGCTGACCTTGCCACTAGCAACTCAATTTATAACGCACTACCAGGGATTCTTGTGACTCCCCTTTAGAAAAGGACAATTCTCTGGAGAACTGGCAATTCTTAGTCTTTAGAGGATCAATCTATGGGAAGGTTGATACCACCATAAAGAATCCTTGAGTGTACAAAGAGTTAGTGTGCAGTTGGCAGCTAATCAAAGGTTCGGAGGTTTGAGTCTACCCAGAGGAGGGTCTGGAATTCTACTTCTGAAAAATCAGTCATTTGTTTAAAACCCTATGGAGCACAATTCCACTCTGACACACAGAGGCTCAGCCTCAATAAGAGTTGACTTGACAGCAAGTGGGGTTTGGATAAGAACTGGCACCCAGATAACAAAATTTGGGACACCCAGGTATGATTTGGCATTCTGAAAGTCATTGATTTTTTGTGCCTGCAGTCCTAACATCAAAACATTGACTGTTGTTGTTGTTGTCAGGTGCCATCGAGTCGGAACCGACTCATAGC